ATTGACAATGTAGGCTCTCATCTGGCCTCCACCGTCAATATTTCCAAGGTCTCTCTTCTATATGGCGCTCGGCGCCCAGCACCCTCTCACCTCTGGCTCTCTTCCAGCGCGTGTGCGCTCGTGCGTGCAGTCCAGGACTGGTCACGCCAGCCAGCCAGTGGCAACTTCAAGAATGAGGATGTGCCTAGGCCTAGCTGCTAGGCACTTCCCTTTGTGCAGATGCTGGCTGGGTCTGGCAGCTTCAGGACTGTGCGGCCTCTGTCCCAATAGCTGCGCCCCTGGGCCCTTCCAGAATGTGCGTGAGGCTCAACTGTAAGGGTCCAGAGACTCAGCATGTCTCTGGGCCCCAGCCTCTGCAACTGATCGGGCCTACCGGTCGATTGAAGACGCTGCTTGAAGCAACCAACCATGGGCAAAACTGGCCCACACAGACTTAAATTCTCAGGCCCTTTTTTTTTTTTTTTTTTTTTTTTTAAACAAAGCTGCAGCCTTTTCATTAAAAAAAAGCAGGAGGCCGGGAATCCCTCCACATCTCAACCCGGAGTAACCAGCAACTTGTCACTTATCACTGTTTAGGCTGGAAACCGGGTCCAGCGTCCCTGAGCTGCRAACTTCTGAAAAAAAAAGGAAGCAACTGGACTAAGAAACTGCCCAACAGCAACAAAGGGAGCAAAAATGTCCTAGAACTGGAAACCGGGTCCAGTGTCCCTGATCTATACTCATCTGGAATCTTGGCAACTGGAAAACAGCTCTGACCAATCACAACCAAGAAGCAAAAGACCGTGCTCTAGTGCTGAAAACAGGGATCAACGTCCCCGGTGCTGTCAAAGAATTAATTCCATATGAGGCCTGAATTCCGGCCTGGGTTGACTTATTCGGAGAAGTTGATCACTGTCTCTCACACCGTAGCAGGATTCTCTTCCCACAGTAACCTGGAAAAATATATATGGCCAGAGTCGAGAGATCCTGCCCATCTGAAAGGCTGTTCCCACACTCCCTTCCCAGTGAGTCTGGGATTTACAGGCCCCCACGTCCATTTTCAGGGCGCGCCTTCACTTAGGGCAGGCACAGGGCTCAGGCCCTTGACAGCAGGCACAGGCCCCTTTTCCAACACAGGCCGAAGGCCTTGTGCCTTGCACAATTACTTCTGGCATGTAATTCTCTAATTGAAAATCATCGACATGCTCAAACAAATCTTAGGTTCCATAAGGCAGGAGGGCCTAGGAAAAACAAGGTAAACGGGGCTCTTTCCTAGGAAAGGGTGCCCCGCAAGGAAAATTGGGCGGGTATGGGGTGCCACCTCAACTAGGATCCGGAGGGCTCCAAAAAGGAGGCATTTTGAAGGTAAAAGGAGATGGCCCTGGCATGACTCAAGGTGCGACGGCCCACTTAAATTTTAATTTTAGGAGTGTCCAGGTGCATTGCACCTGAAAAATATGTGCCAGTGTGGTCCCAAGATGCAATGGACCACTTTAGACTTAGATTTGGGAGAATTTTTCTTTTTTTCTTTTTTTTTGCAATGCGCCTGAAAAACGAGTACCAGAGTGGTCCTAGTGTGCAATAGCTTGCTTAAATTTAGTTTTAGAAATGTCCAGGTGCAATGCATCTAAACAATTCTGTGCTATTAGTGTGGCCCTAAGGTGCAACAACCCACTTAGTTTTAGTTTGGGAGTGTCCATGTGCAATGCAACAGGAAAACGTGTTCTAGTGTGGTTCTAGGGTGCAGCGGAGCACAAAGCCTTAGTTTTGAGAGCGTACAGGTGTGATGCATCTGAAAATGTGGTTCTAGAGTGGTCCTAAGTAGAAGGGAAATAAAAGATAAGCTCGTTAGTGCGCAGGTTTTTTGGTATGACTGCAGTCAGGTGTGGTGGCTTGTCCTTTTTTTTCTACTCCTGCCTCTCCCATTCTCTCTTCAGGCTCTGATCTCGCTCTTATCTTTTATTTCCCTTCTACTTAGGACCACTCTAGAACCACATTTTCAGATGCATCACACCTGTACGCTCTCAAAACTAAGGCTTTGTGCTCCGCTGCACCCTAGAACCACACTAGAACACGTTAGTTCTATGCGAATTCTCCATTCTATGCGAATTCTCCGTTCTATTCGAATATAATGCACCACACCACTTGAAAATACACGCCCTACCTGAACTCTTTTTTTCGTTTCACAACCACTTGCGACATTCCACACCACTTGAACCAGACCCTGCCTACTAAGGATGGTGGTATAGGGGTGGTATAAGCAGCCTCCCCTACCGTCTTCCCCCCAACATAACATGTATGCTTTGTTTATGAATATAAAACATAAGTTGCTAACGAATACAAAAAATAGGTTGCAGTATTCGACTATAACGCACATCCATTCTCTTCGAACAGCCCCTTAATTTCGAATACAACGTGCATCCATTCTCTTTGAGTTCTCATTTCTATTTGAATATAACGCACACACATTCTATTTGAAGAGCCCTTAATTTCAAATACAATGCTCATGCGTTCTATTCCGAATTCTCAAAATTTTCAAAAACTCAAATACAACGCATATGCCTTATGTTCGGGGGAACAGGGTAGTAATGTCGTTGGTTGCTCCGTGCCCTTAATTCCGAATAAACGCGCATACGTTCTTATTCCTAATTCTCAAGATTCTCAAAAGTTTAACTCGAATACAACGCATATGCCTTATGATCGGGGGAATAAGGTAGTAAGGTCCTTGGTTGCTTCGTTCAATTGGTGGGGAGGAACGTTACTTCCCTGTTCCCCCGAACATAAGGCATATGTGTTGTATTCGAAATTTTGAACAATTGGCAAAGTTGAAAGTAGGTGAACATGAGAGTAGTTCAGTTCATGTAGTGTCCAAGCTGGGACTGATCAGATCCATCTTCGGACGCTGCAGTTAGGGGTAGATTTAGGGTTCGGCTTGTGGCTAGAGTGCCTTGCTCATCCCACGGACTGCAGCCCATGATGTGAGGGACGCTGGGCCCGATTCCCAGCATGTAATGAATACTATTTTTTCGCTTCAGGAGTGACGTGGGAAGCCCCTGTCGCTTTGGTGAGCCTCGTGGCCAGTTCCGGCGCTTGAAGCTCTCGAGTCACCTCTTCTAGCTCCCTGAGGTGGAGGTCCATTTTTTTTTCTTTTCTTTTGGGAACATTTCTCTATTGGGAAAATCGTTGAAACGCCCCTGAAAGTTGGGGTATTTCGTTGGATATCTCTAAAAGGCATGGGTATGGCGAAATGCCTCTATGACAGGTGGGAAACTTTGCAAAATGCCCCACTCGCCAATTGGACCTGCCATCTTTTGCATATACCCCTACGGGGCCTGGGCAACTTGTCTATATGCCCCCGTATTTCTGGCCGTTGGACCCTGCAGTTGCCAAAAGAACTGCTCCGGCCGCTGCAGTCCTGGGGTAGGGCATATGGCTAAGTTGGTGATGCCTGGGACAGGGGCAGATGAAGAAGTTTGCGGCATTTGGGCGTGTGTAACTTTTGTGTTTTAGGGGTATCTGACAAAATACCCAAACTTTTAGGCGTATTTGAACATTTTTCCCTTCTCCATTTATGCGTGCGCAGGGGCCATGCTAATCTACTTTCTCTAAACATATAGGGCGAGATCCCACTGGCAAAAACGATTGGAGTAAGTGTCTGAATCTGGACGTGTTTTGTGGAGAGGTCCGAAAAACTGTAACTGATCTGCCTTTCTGCATCTCTTACTGGAACACGTCCTGAATCGGACACTTATTCCAATCCTCTTTGCCAGTGGGATCTGGCCCATACAAAAAAAGGGGAAACTACGTGGGAGTCACAAAAATGAGTTATAATTGCACTTCGGGCCAAGATACAGTTCCAGGTTGCAGTTAGGGCAATGTATACAACCCAGCCCCATAGTGCAATTATAACTCGTATAGATTCAAACAACCTTGAAAAGAATGAATCAAATGTTTTGATAATCTAAATTTGATTCATTCTTTTCGAAAACATGAATCCCATCTTAATCTAATAATGTTAATCTAAAAATACAACAACAGGAACTATCCGTGAATATAACAAGGCTCGAAGAGCAGACGCTTAGCGTCTGAATCCCACGCATTGGAACCGAAGGATGCATTACATCCGCTTCGCAGATGATTTTCTAGCAATCTCTGGTCCACGATCAGAAGCAGTGGAACTGAGATCTGAATTGGAATCGTTCCTTAGAGACAAACTCCAAAAAAAAAAAAGAAAAAAAAAAACACTCCTTTCTCTGTCTGATTCCAACTTTAACGAATTAACAGATGTACGTGGATGTCTTTTTTTTTTTTTTTTTTTTTTTTTTTTTTTTTTTTTTTTGGGGCGGAGATCAATTTTGTCTCTGCGGCCCTTGAGTTTCAAGGGCCAGTTGCTCTTGAAACCCACAATGTGAAAACACTCACAATGTGAAAACACCCACAATGTGAACACGTCTGCGGACATCATTAGGGAGGAGAGGAACCATGCTTCCTTGAAAATAGTTTCAAGTGGTGTGGAACGAGCCCCATTATCACTCTTGGACTTATTTCCTTATTTCTTGATGTAATTCCGGTTAGATTCATCCAGATCCGGCAGTAAATTCGGTCAGATCCTTTTCTTTTTTTTTTTTTAATCAGATACACATAAGATAGAGCTAGAGTGAGCCTTTTCTTCTTTTTTTTTCCAAGGCTGCGATAAATTCGGGGGGGGGAGGGGAGAATCCAAATGCCACCCCCCGCAGAGCTCCCTCCCCAAAATTAAAACAAAACAAGAAAAGATAAAACCCATGAAAAGATTCAACAGAACCCAGAAACGTTAGATCGACGTCTTCTTGTTAAAAAAAAAA